TTGTGCTTTAATAAATAAAGCTTGCCTGGAGCAGGAAGAAAAGGCCAGCCATTTTAAGTAAACAAGGAAGTCAGGCAGTGGCAGCCCACGCCCTTAATCCTATCACTTAGCAGGCAAGATCTCTGTGTTCAAGGCCACACTAGGGAACAGAGCCAAGCGTGGTGACACTCACCTTCAATCCCAGGACCAACCATAGAGACCTGGAGGTCTGTACAGACAGACAGAAAGTGACAGAGCTATGTAAGAAGAGGGAGTGAGGTAGCTGGGCTAAGATAGCCAATGAGAGGGCAGAACAACAAGACAATAAAGGCATGGGTGGACAGGAAGCAACTCACATTTTGGAAGCTGCAGAGTTGGTGAGGTAAGGTTGGCTGGTGGCCTTCCCTGTTTCCCTGATCTCTCTAAGGCTTTCACCCCTATATTTGGCTCCGTGTTTTTTATTTAATAAGACCATTTAGAAATTCGCTAAAAATACACTCCTCCTCTGTCTGTTTCTATTCAGAAAAGGCAGGCCTCCCATGGATATGTGATTGCCCTGTGCCTTCATTTTTGAGACAGGAGTTAACCAATTTGGCTAGACTATTTGGTCCCGAGCTTCAGGATCCACCTCCTGCACTGGGATCACATGGACAAGCTGTGGCTCGGGCACTGGAGATCTGAAGTCAAGTTCTCGGCAAGCATCGCATTTCTGAGCCATCCCCTCAACACTGCTTTGATTCTTATGCTACAAAATGACTCAAGGGCTGCTGAGATGGCTCAGCTGGTAAAGGTGCTTGCTGCCAAGACTGACGACCCGAGTTTGAATTCAGAACCCACATTGTGGAAGAGGAGATCTGCCTTCTGCCAACGGTCCTCTGACCTCCACATGGGCACCGTGGCCTGCTTCTTTCCCTCCAAAATACAACTCGTAAAAAAATTTAAAAATGATTTGGAATAAATAAGTGCTAAATAACCACACTGCATGGTTTGACAACACACAGTAAATCTCAGGTTTAAAAGTCACAAGGGTGACCTCACAATTGCAGGTCATTTTTTTTTTTCAGGCAAAATGGCCGCAAAGTTGAAAGGTCATTAATGGACTTGCAGAACTTTGCAGAGACTAAAGGTGACCCCTTATAATTCCTACATTGAGACTCACCCCTAATGTGTTGATGTTGAGATGGAACTTTTGGGGGCTGATTAGCTCATGAGAGCTGAGCCTCAGCCGGGCAGAGGCAGGAGGATCTCTGTGAGGAGGATCTCTGTGAGGCCAGCCTGGTCTACAGAGTGAGTTCCTGGATACCTAGGGCTACACAAAGAAACCCTGTACAAAGAAGGAGGAGGAGGAGGAGGAGGAGGAGGAGGAGGAGGAGGAGGAGGAGGAGGAGGAGGAGGAGGAAGAGGAGGGGAGGAGGAGGAAGAAGAAGAGGAGGAGGAGGAGGAGGAGAAAAATCCCAGCTTGCACCTCCGTCCATGTGTGGGTATAGGCAAGCAAGACAGCTCCTGCCCAAGCCTGACGCCAGGAGTTTGATTCCTGGGACCCACATGGTGAGAAGAGAGGCCAGATGTGGCCTGAGTGCACCCATGCCCATACACATATGCACATAAAATAAATAAAAGTAGAAAAGAAAGCCCTGCCTGTGAACCAGGAAGCAAGCCCTCACTAGACACAGAATCTGCCTGGTGCCTTGACTTGTGAGAAATATACATGTTATTTATAACCTACAGAGACTATAGCATTTTGTTATAGTGCCCTGAATGGATTAATACAGAATTTAGAAAAAGAATTACCATTATTATTTGTAATTGCTTTCAGAAACAACAGCATGACCTTTGCTCCAACAACCAGTATAAATTCATAATACAAAAATAAAGATTTTTTTTTCTTTTGAGACAGGGCCTCACGTAGCCCAGGCTGGCCTTGAACTCACTATGTAGCTGAAAATGACTTAGAACTCCTGATTCTCCTGCTTCCACCTCCCAGAGCTGGGATTACAGATGTGTGCCACCTGGTCTAGTTTCCACACTGCTGGGGATGGAGCCCAAGGCTTTGTGTGTGTTACACACACACTCTATCAGCTTGTGTATGTTACACACGCACTCTATCAGCTTGTGTGTGTTACACACACACTCTATCAGCTGAGTTGCACCCCGCCCAGGCCCTGCTCCTGAATTTTGAGCTTTTATGCAATGGTAGTTTACATCGGAACAAACTGGCCTGACAGAGCATTCAGGCACAGAAACTGAGGCAAAAAGTCATGGCAGGAGGTTGTCATTGATGTGGCCTTTATGTTTAATGCATGGCTATTTGGGGCCAAGACAACCCCCTCCCGACTTCCCATTAAAAGAGCAGCCTTCGGAGATGTTTACAAGGACATTGCTTTGGAAAAATGAACTGGCTAATATTTAATACTTGGAATCCATGTGTGTTAAAAGTGGGTGCACCGGAGTCCAGACACAACCCAGACCCAGCAGAGTCCAGTTTGCTGATTACATGCATCATCCCCCCCACCCCACACACACACTGCAGGGGCGAGGATGCTAGGTAAGAGCTTTACTTCTGAGTTATGCACCAGTCTTTATCAGGTTTGTCTGTGAGCATGCCTGTGTGTGTATGGGAGGAGTTCTTGATTGTTAATTGATGTAGGAAGACCCAGCCCATTGCGGGTGGCACCATTCCATAGGCAGCAGGCCTTGGACTGCGTAAGAGGAGAAAGCCAGCTTTCTGAGAACAAGCAAGGATTCTGTCTCTGCGGAAGTGATGCTCGAGTTTCTGCCATGACTTCCCTGTGATGACGGACTGTAACCTGGAGCCCAACAAACCCTTTCTTCCCTAAGACGCTTTTTGTCGGGGTGTTTTGTCACAGCAACAGAGAAACTAGAAAACGGGTCAATTCGAAAGCATTCCAGTCTTCCTGCAAAATGAGGGGTGGGGGGGGGGGGGGGCTGATGCTGCCATCTAGTGGCGAGACCATGATTGCACAGTTTTGTGAGCTCAGTGGGAAGTAGAGATCCTAAATGCTTCTCTTTTTTTATGTTGTATTTTTTTATTTTATAATTTAATTTAATTTTACATATCAGCCACAGATTCCCATGTCCTCCCCCCACCCCACCCCCACTTCCCCCCAGGCAAAGACTCCCCTGGGGATTGAGTTCAACCTGGTAGATTCAGTTCAGGCAGGTCCAGTCCCCTCCTCCCAGGCTGATCTAAGTGTCCTTGCATAAGCCCCAGGTTCCAAACAGCCAACTCATGCACTGAGGACAGGTCCCGGTCCCACTGCCTGATGCCTCCCAAACAGTTCAAGCTAATCAACTGTCTCACTTATCCAGAGGGCCTGATCCAGTTGGGGGCTCCTCAGCTATTGGTTCATAGTTCATGTGTTTCCATTTATTTGGCTATTTGTCCCTGTGCTTTTTCCAATCTTGGTCTCAACAATTCTCGCTCATACAAACCCTCCTCTTCCTCGCCAATAGAAAACAGGACCCTAAGAAAGACACAGGGATCACCCAATGACAGAGCAATGGATGAGATCTACATGAACAACCTGGACATGAGTGGGGGTAATGACGGGCAAGGGTCGAGGGAAAGAGAGCTTAGGGGAGCGGGAGATCCCAGCTGGATCAAGAACAGAGAGGGAGAACAAGAAATAAGAGACCATGATAAATGAAGACCACATGAGAATAGGAAGAAGCAAAGTGCTAGAGAGGTTCACAGAAATCCACAAAGATACCTCCACAATAGACTACTGGCAATGGTTGAGAGACAGCCCGAACTGACCTACTCTGGTGATAGGATGGCCAAACACCCTAATTGTCATGCTGGAAACCCCATCCAATGACTAAGGGAACCAGATGCAGAGATCCACGGCCAGGCCCCAGGTGGAGCTCCAGGAGTCTAAATGCTTCTTTATACCGCCATTTGTGACAGCCCAGAGGAGTTGTCATCACGGCCCTTGAGGGAGGTACTGTGTAAGGGCCAGGGGTGGGGTGCGAGGGATGAATCAAGAAAGTGTTTGCTGTGCAAGCTTGCAGATCCGAATTTGATCCCAAGAACCTGAGCTCTAGCCCCAGAACACACTCAAGAAAGCTGGGTTTGGTGGTGAACACCTGTAATCCCAGAGTGGAAGAAGCAGAGTCAGGCGGCTCCTTTGGCCTCATTCATGGCTGGCGATCCCAGTGAATCAGCTAGCTCCAGGTGCTGATGAAAGACCTTACTTCAAAAACAACAACAAAACAACAAACCCCTCAAAACTTGCAGTTTCTGAGGAAGAACACTCAAGATTGTCTTCTGGTTTCTATAAGCGTGTGCACACATGGACATGCGTACCTGCACACAGGTACACACACACACACACACACACACACACACACACACACACACACACACTCGTGCATGCATGCATGAACCATGAATATTTCAAAAAGAAATATTCTTCAAAAAGAAAACCTAGACCATGAATATTTCAGCAGAATTATATGATCAGTTAGTTCTCTGTCTGTGCTGAAACTCTGCCAATTAGCTAGCATTGCATTAATTTTAAAAAGTGTGTGTGTGTGTGTGTGTTTTAAATCATGTTTGTTTTTGGGTTTTCCAAGACAGGGTTTTTCTGTTCAGTCTTGGCTGTCCTGGAACTCACTCTATAGACCAGGTTGGCCCTTTACTCACAGAGATCCACCTGCCTCTGCCTCCTGAGTGCTGGGATTAAAGGTGTGCGCCACCACTGCCCAGCTAAAAAGTGTGTCTTGATTAAGATAAATTAGACTCTGAAAATCAGCTATCTACCATCATGGCTCCTTGGCAAGCAAGCCCTCCCTCATGTTTTGAAAGCACAGTTTGAAAGTGTGGTTTGTCACGGTTGGCCTTTCACACCTGGTCCCCCAGCCTCTGTCATCTACAGTGCAAACGTCCCGGGGGGGGTGGGCAGCAGTTTCCCAGCTTACCTCGGAGTGGTTTCCATCTTAGAGGGGTCAGACAAGGAAGAGAACACCAGGGGCTGGAACCTCTTCCAGTTCATGATTCCAGGAATTATATCCTGTGATGAAAGTTGGTGCAAGGGCAGGACATGAGGAGAAAGCATTAGGTGGTTGTGAGAGTTCATATTGATAGTACCTAGAGTCACCTAAGGGACAAACCTCTGGGAATGTCTCTGAGGATTTTTAAACATTGGATTAATTGAGGTGGAAAGACCCACCCTAAATGTGGGCAGAGTCATCCCACAGTCTGGAGTCCAGGAGTGAACACAGAGGAGGAAGGAACACAGAGGAGGAAGTGAGCTGAGCCCCGGCATCCGTCTCTCTGCTTCCTGACTGTGGACGCCACGTGACCCGCTGCCCCATGCTCCTGCACCATGCCTCTGCTCCTGCACCATGCCTCCCTTCCTTAAGTTGTGTTTCCACATGTTTTGTTAGAGGACCAAGAAGAGTAACTAACGCAGTGGGAAAATGTCTCAGAGGACCTTCACTTCGTTCAGCAGACTGTTTCACAGTCACAGTAGGTTAGATCTAAACCTCATTAAGCTTGACTGACTTCCTCTAACGCACAGACAGTTGCTCCAGTACAGGGTATGTGGTGGTGACCGAGGGCACATGTGGTCTCCCAGCCTGTCTGGACGGCTGTGGAAGTGACGTTGATGCACCATCCAAAGAGGATGGGCAGCACTCAGGGAGGGAGGCCGGGCAGCGGGATGCGCTGGCAGTATTAGGAGGTCACCAGCAGTTCAGCTAAGAGCAGGGAACATGATAGGGATGGTGCCTGTGGCTGGAGGGGTGGCAGGTCACCAAGGGACTCGAGGGCCAGGCCAGTGGAGCTGCTCTGTGGGCAATGGATACATACTGAGGATGTGTGTGTGTGTGTGTGTGTGTGAGAGAGAGAGAGAGAGAGAGAGAGAGAGAGAGAGAGAGAGAGAGAGAGAGAGAGAGAGAGAGAGAGAGAGAGAGAGAGAGAGAGAGAGAGAGAGAGAGAGAGAGAATGAATGCCAGAGGCCAGTGTCCCTGTCTTCTCAATTAAGAGATAGCATCTCTTGGGGAACCTGGAGCTTGCAGTTTCCACTAGACTGGCTAGTCAGTAACCTCCAGGGATCCATCCGTTTCCATATCCCCGGTGTTGGGATTACATGTCTATGCCACCATGCTTGGATTTATGTGGGCACTGGAGACTTGAACTCAGCTCCTCACGCTTGTGGGGTTTAGCCAGCCCCACAGTCCCCTGAACCACTGAGGCGTTTCCAGATGATCAGAAACTTCCTGTGGCAGCCTGGAGGTTGTGGTAGTGGT